CACACGCGCACACGCGCACACGCGCACACGCGCACACGCGCACACGCGCACACGCGCACACGCGCACACGCGCACACGCGCACACGCGCACACGCGCACACGCGCACACGCGCACACGCGCACACGCGCACACGCGCACACGCGCACACGCACACACGCACACACGCACACACGCACACACGCACACACGCACACACGCACACACGCACCCACGCACCCACGCACCCACGCACACACGCACACACGCACACACGCACACACGCACACACGCACACACGCACACACGCACACACGCACACACGCACACACGCACACACGCACACACGCACACACGCACACACGCACACACGCATACACGCACACACGCACACACGCACACACGCACACACGCACACACGCACACACGCACACACGCACACACGCACACACGCGCACACACGCACAAACGCACACACGCACACACGCACACACGCACACACGCACACACGCACACACGCACACACGCACGCAAACACGCAAACGCAAACGCAAACGCAAACGCAAACGCAAACGCAAACGCAAACGCAAACGCAAACGCAAACGCAAACGCAATCGCAAACGCAAACGCAAACACAAACACAAACACAAACACAAACACAAACACAAACACAAACACAAACACAAACACAAACACAAACACAAACACAAACACAAACACAAACACAAACACAAACACAAACACAAACACAAACACAAACACAAACACAAACACAAGCACAAACACAAACACAAACACAAACACAAACACAAACACAAACACAAACACAAACACAAACACAAACACAAACACAAACACAACACACACAGGCAAAAACACAAGACACACAAGCATGCAAACATACCACCACACAATCAGGCAAACGCACAGGCACATACACACACAAACGCACAACACGAGAATCCACAAGCGCACAAACGCAAAGATGCATAGAAGCTCAAACACTCAAAGACACAGCGGTGCAAGCACATGTGTGCACAAACACACAAAATACACAAATGCACAAACGCGCAAGCTCGCAAACAATCAAGTCAAGCATGCGCACGCGCAAATGCAAGTCACACGCAAATACATAATAATAAAGCAAAGCGCGAATACACGAGCGCAGAAACACACAAACAACCAAATGAGCAAGAACACACACACACACAACCGCACAAGCGCACAAGCGTGCAAGCGCACATTTGCGCACACGCGAAACGCCCGTGCCAAAGTGCAAACGCGTCTACGTGCAAGCAAAACACACAAGCCACAGCTATTCGCATACGCGCAGCCAAGCCTTGGTTTCAATCACGGACGACAATCAACAGTTGCGCAAAGAACAGAGCGGAAGTCCTGGCACATGCCATGTACAGCGCCTGAATGGGCAAACTGGCACAAGAATCAGGAGTTGCCAGGCAAGCTGCTCTCTAGTTGACAGGTGTCATGGCAACTGCGTGAAAGCAGTGCCTCGTTCGCACTTGGCTGTTCTCGTAGGGCTGATTTCAAAGCCCCTTTCCAGGCAACCATGTGTGCAAAACGCAATGCTCGGCGTTAGCAGGCGGTGTTGGCCCCAAGATTGTTTAAATGGTGGAGCAACCAGGAAGAGTATCGCTTGCTATGCGCATTGCGAACACCGGGCAGCAATACAACAAAAGCTTCACTGCTTTGAAGACCAAGCTGACTCTTCACTGATTGAACATAGGGCCTGCAGAGTTTGTTGCGGCAAGTTCCCAAAGGGACAATTGCACTGCAAGTAAATCGGATTCTATGAGGTCCTACAGTCTGAGCAATGTTCATGGCGAGCCAGCCAATGCAAAACATGTACTCCATGAAGGGAGCGTGGACCTGGATTCAAGGCTTGCCTATTTTCCGAGTGTGCAGCAAACATTGTTGTGCGAGCACAACTTGGGAATTTGTACTTGGATGCAGTTGGCCCAAGTCACTGATACTGCGACAGTGCCAATGGAAGGCAAGTCAAGGCCTTTACCCTGCAATCCTCCGTACCTTCACAGTTGCAGGCGAGCCTGGACAGAATGGTCCACCCCTTAGTTTTCGAACCTCGCAGGCCGTTTGAGCGCTCTTTGCAGGCTGGGATCAACTGTGGTCTGCACAGTCTGAGTATGCGGCCTCGGATGGGGGGTCATGTGCTGAACAATTCCTGGTGATTGCGCCTCAAGTTGCCAAGGCGAGTTGCTGAAATGCAAAGACGGCTGCAATCAGCCTGCCGAGATGCCACACACTCAGCCAATTGGATCAGCTTTGAGTACAGTCAGCGAAGCAAGGCTGCCTTGTTGACCGACAACAGCTCCCAGAAGGAGGAAGCCACAACAGACATCCGTTCGCAAGCTGCGCAGGCTGTGCAGCCTGCGCAGCTTGCAGATTCAAAGCAAGCAAGCAAACCTTTGTGCCAAGCTGTGCCGGCTGATGAGGGTGCGGGCAGGCAGGGTGTGCGACTTGTGTATGTTTCTGCGTGCGTGTGTTTTCGCGCGTTGCTTTTTGCGTGCTGATTTGCTTCCCTTTTTCCTTGATTCTTCATGGCTGTCGCTTTCGCCCAGCTATCCTGCTGAAAGTGAGGCAGGCGAAGCCCTCAGTTTTGAAGCAAGAGTTGAAGATTTTCCGCGTTGGTCTCAGGTCGGACATGTCACTCGATCGAGGCGGAGCTTTTAGAGAGAATCCCGTCAACTGCCGCCGCCTGTTCAGGTCCCGCAAGCCATTGCCCATCATGAAGACATTACCAACGTGTCCAACGAGGTTTGCATTTTGCAGCTGGCATCGCGGCATTGCAACTTCTGCTCGCAGGTGCTTCAACTTCGCTTGCTCAAAACGCAGCATGAGGACCACCGTTTTGACTGCGTCGGCCTATATGTCCCTTCGGCCATTGTTTTGCCATTTGCGTGCGGGTGTCTGCAATCAGAGGTGAAGGTTTGTGACAGGAACTTGTTTTGCATGTCTCTGTATTTGGAGCCTGCTTGCACCTAGTCTTGCTGCAGCACAAATTAGTTGCCCAAGGCCAGGCAGGGTCTTCAAGAAAAACATGACGTCCATGTTGGTAGCAGCCATACATGCCACGTGACTGCACAGCTACCAATCATCATAAATGCAGAGACGTAGTAATGCCAGCAGCCAATCCAAAGACGAAAGGGAAGGCAGGGTTTTCTCGGCTGGTCTTGTCGTTGCGTGCGCCACATGGTGCAAGCATAATGTGAATTGTATGCGTAGCCTGGCTTTAAGCCTGGTGAAGATGTCAGGTGAAACCAGAAGAGGATAGAGGCGTAGCCAAAAACGAGCGCGCCAGGGTCTGTGGTTGGTTTTCATTTGACGAGCACTGTGACTGTTGGAAGACGTAAGGCCCTCAAAGGCGGCTTCCGGCAGGCACGTTTGTGCATGTGGGATTGCGGGATTGCAAGCTATCAGCAAGCTATCATTCTTCTCAGGATGCGATTGCAACAACAAAAGCTGCTGGAAAGCCTGCCCGCTCCTCAAACTAGGTGAACTTCTGACGGACTTTGTTCCATTACCACAGGATGCACCCAAAGATGGCCAAGAAGGCTTGCCTGCGCCAGTTTCCCTGCTACTCGATGGACGTGGTGAGTGTTTTGACCCCGAGTGATGCCGTGAGCAAGTTCATTCTGTTTGTGCCTTTTGCTGGTTCTGTGTGCTCCATGCACACGGCGTGCACAAGTTTCAAGGCCTGCCCCATGCTGTCACAAATCAGCGCAGTCGCCAATCGCAACATAGTGTCATGCCACATGGCGGCCGTGAGAATGGCACCAGCACTTGTACGTTCTCTTCTCCCACGACTTCTGTTGGTGTTGGTATCAGCTCGTGAAGCCATACGGCCTTTGCGTGCATTTGCAGCTTGGAGCCCAACTCGCCAACATTGCGCCAGCTTCTATGTCATTGTGCCAACTACAACGCGAGCACGCGGATTTTTGTAGACCTTGCCGAATTGGAAAACATTTGATGCTTGCATGATAGAGATCTGAGCATCCAGGGTCGACGCGAATTGATGCGAACAAGGCGAGCTTTGTTTGAGCCCATCAGCGAGGCTTCATGGAGAGCTCTGGGGCGCTGAAACTTTCAAACTCCAACGGCATCACTCTGCTTGGGTGCATAGCGTCCAATGCTGCAGCTTGCCCAATTTCTGACCTAAAAATGCCAGCACAAGCTGCACACTGCGCTTGACCCTTCGGCTTCGGGCAAAGCTTGCATTTGTTGCTTCGCTGAAGCTTGGGATGTATGTGAACCGCATTTGTCTGCCCACATGGCCTGCGGTGAGGACAAGGACAAACCTCCTCGACTCTGCCCACCTTTTTTCTTTCAATGTCCTCGCATGAAGCGGACAAGCTTAACAGTTGATTCAATGTTACTGGTTTGTTTGTCTTGTTGGCCTGCACTGTCGGCACTGCAAGTGGCAGGTCGGCCCAACCAGGCTTGGACCAGGGCTGCAAATGCAGAGAAGCAGTGCTTTGAACTTGCATTGGTATTCAGGAGTCCACACCAGAGGCATGGACATTGGATAAATTTGTTTGCACTGACCATTGCGCACGCCAGGTCGAGTTGCCAGTGACTGACCGCTTACCATTTAACATATTTGTCCTGACAACGACGTGCAAACCCAAGGAGTGATGTGCCCATTGTGCAATGGCAGGAAAGGGTAGGACATTGCATGGAATTGCGAGATTGAGACGGGCCAGTCTGTCAACACCCCCCTTTGCATAGCTGCTGAGTGATTGCCGAGCCCAGATTCCTGAATATATTGATCATCGGTCTGGAGCAGGCAGTGGCAAAGAATCGCGCAACCTGCTTTAGACATTGTTCAAAGGTGAGGTGTCTTTGCCTGCACAGCTGCTCGCAAGAGCAAAGTTGGACAAGGCAACCTCTTGCATTGCAGGATTTGAGTACTGATGGTTCCGGCGTTATATGGTACGGTACCCAGCTGAACGCGGTCTTTTTAGCTTGGCATCCTTTTCAGCTTGTGCATCCGAAAGGATCAGCATGTTATGTTTGTTTCTTGCAGAGCTGAGTATATGGTCGAACGTTTCTTGAATCATCACTGCGTGATGGCGTGTGCAGATGAGCGCATTAACTCGTGTCAGCTTGAATGCAGGTTTGCTTTGGAGAGCCTTTTCGTCATTCTTTTCATCATCGAGCTGGGCATTCGCTGGGCCTCCTTGAAGAGGCCACTGGGCAGAGATAGCATGGCAGCTGAAAGGTGCCGAACCTGGGCAGGCGATCGACATTTTTTCACGATGGGTGGAATATTTGCGACGTGATAGCCGATCACTTAGAGGGTGGCAGCTGATCATTCCTGCCACACGCAGCACCCTGCAGCTTGTCCTGGCCTCCGCCATCGACTGCTTTGTGCTGAGCTTGATTGGCGTCGGTGGCCAGGCAACGAGAATCACACGGCAGTTAAGCAAGCTTGAATCAGCTTGAACTATTTGAACGCTGCTGGCTCAGATCCGCTTCTTCACTGTGCTGCGAGCGCCTTCTCCTTGGGTCTTGCTAATCTTCAAAGGCGTGCGTATGCCTTGATTTGCCAAGGTTGCGAGTAATCAGATTTGTTCGACTTGTGCATGCCTAAGTTACTAAGGGAAGCCTTAAATTCCAATCAACATGTTCTGTACCCGAAATGTGTTCGATCCGAGGTTAGAATGTTCTCCGCCTTCCGAGAATTGTGGTTGCTGGTCGGTGGTCGGATTCCAAGCTTCTCATAGTTGGCTTTGCGGGTGTGATTCAAGTTGAAACGTGCGACAGACAGATTGGCTCTTTTGTGAGGCCTGACAAATTCTGTGAAGGCATTGTCGTGAGCTGCTCAGCATGATGGTCTTTGTGCGAAGGACACTCACAGCAGAGAGTTTTGACAAGGTGGGTGGGCCTCGTCGTATTCATGCTCATTTATGCTGGCAGCTCAAGTGTTCAGCATTGGGTAACACCCACCTGCTGCCAATGCTTCATCCCTGCACAAGCTAGCTAGTATTCACATACTCTATCATTTTCTGGATGAAACATCTGATTGACGTATGGCAACATTCGATTGATTCTTTGGGCTCTGATTGACCAATCAGTGCTCTGAGGTTTGTGGCATCATTTGTACTGCTGAGATTGGTCAGAATGCCTGCCGCCCAGAAAGGTGTGGGTATTGTGGAGGCACCGCGCAATGGCAAGCATTCTAATCATTCCATGAAAGTGTGGATCGTAAATGGCTGTCCAGAAAAGCTGGAACTTGTAGCCAGATTGCCTGGAAAGTTTTGTTGAAGAGAGCTCCGCCCAGCTAGGTGCCTTGCGCCTGAATGCTTGCCTGCTCTCTTGCACACAAATCGTCCAAGATTGGAAAGGCGCCATTAGCTGCCATGCCATTTCTAGCTGCTCACTCAATGTGGTGGTCGAATATCACAACCCTGCCAATATGTTTATGCTAGAGGTGGGAACCGTGCTTAAATTCTGTCAGCGTAGACCCAAAACAGATTTCGCGGACAGCATGATGATAGTGCTGGCCGCATTGCGTTAATTCAATGCGATCACCATCACAAGCGCGTCTGGCATCCAGGCAAGCGGGGCAAATTAGTTCAGATGACTCAGGCAGGCTAGCGCCTGAGGCGTGCAGCGTTCTTAGCCCGCCCAACTAGGAGCTTGGAGACAACCGGATTCGGCAGGGTTTCGTTGAGATCGATCAATCTCGCAGCTAAAGTTGATCGAGGAGGAAATCACATTTTGCGCTGCTCAATTTGCTAGTGGAGATGGGTGGGTTTCTGCGACAGAGACAGCCTCATCTTGGCGTGTGGTTGTGCCTCAGGTCTGGCCTCTGTGTGTGAGGGTCCGATTGCGCGGGTGACACGTTCTAAGTCACTGTTTGCTTTGGCTTGGTTGTGCTGCGGCAGCGCTGTCTGCCATCTCTTCCTCGCCTCGCTGTCTCGGCCTGGCAATTTAATCATTTTCGCTTGGCTGCATCGATAGCAAGTTGCGTTCAAACGTGTGTGTGGAGTGGGAACTGTAGGTGCTGATAGCGACGCAGCGAGAATGCATCCCTTCGATGTTTCCTCTGCAATGCGAATGTTGACATGTGTTGGGATCGCTGAAGTTCCATTATTGTCACAAAATCACACTCTTGCCAGTGCAGCTTGCTGGCATCGCAGTATTGTCAGTGTCTAAGAACTGTTTGCTCATTGAGTCAGCTGAGGATGAAACCTATGCAATAGGGCCTTCCTACAATGGCGAGGCATGTGACTTGAGCGTATCAGTCATTTCCAGCTTTTGAATCGATGCCTTTGCAGAGGTGTGGCCTTACAAGCAGTACTTCGGGACGGTTTTTCGGTGGAGCAGCACGATTGCAGGGCGAGTTTGTTGGGAGCACCTGACATCTAGCAGCAATTGATGCAACAAATGCCCAGCAGCCAGGTCAATGTTTACTCTTTTGCAGGCAGCAGCCTCAGATTACTTCACGAGGTGCGTGATCATTTGCCAATTTCAGCGATTTCTGAACTCGGAAAGAGAGGTGCTGACCTTGGATGGCTGGTGCGACGACATTGTGCGGCACGTGGTTTACAGACAACCTGTGATGGGCGCGTGGGGACCCAGTAATTTGGCTTTGAACCATTGATTGTGTAATGCTATGACTGCCACCTCACTTTGCTCACATTGGTATGTGTTGTTAGGTCTTGTTGCAGTAGTTCAACAAAGTAGCAGCATACTGGAAGAATTGCAAGCAGGTCAATCTGTGGCAGACTTACCAGCAACCAGAATCGACGCGCAACACGTAACCTTTGCCTGAGTACTGAGCGCTCCCACCAAGTACCACATCAGGCATGCGTATATATATATATATATATATA